GATTCGCAGCCCTACTCGCCCAGGGCCGCGATGCCCCCGGCGCCTCCGAGGGTGCGGGCGAGGCAGGTGTGCCCGCCTGTGCCAGGGTGGGCCTGCCCAACCCGGTGCCTTTTATTTAGTTTTTCAGTTTAAGCTTAAGATTTTACTTGGCTTTGCCATTATATTGAATTAAAAAAAAGTTTTAGTTGCTTTTGCCCAAATTAGACGTGTTGTACATCGTTCAGGGAGTGAAAAATAGTTCTGAGTCTTGTCGCAGGAAACAGCGACTCCTGCCCCCTCGCCCCTGCTGGTGTCCCACCTGTGACCAGAGGTTTAAACCCACTGCCCACGTTATGCTCTCGCGATTTGGGGGACCGGAGTCGGGCCTCTGCTGGGCCATCCTGTGTCTGCAGCTTGGTGGGCACTCACCTGCCTCGTGTCCCGGGGCAGCAGGGTCCTCCTCCTCCCCTTGGCTTCACTCCAGAGGCCTCTCTGGACGGTGGTCAGCCTCACTCACTCGGGACTCAAAGGAGCCCACAGCAGAGGCTCCCAGTCCTCCGAGAGGCCGGATAGGGAGCTGTTCCCAGCACCTCCTTGTCACACCTGACTCCGGGTTTGAGGGGGGCGGGCCCCACCTCTCAGTGGGAGGGTGCGGCTGGCTGCTCCCTCCCATCCTCCATCGGGAGCCCCACTAGACCTTTACTCCGGGCGAGGGTTTTGGTATTTGCCTCTTGTCATCCAAATGCATCACTGTCGCTAGTTTTGTTCCCTCCGCCCACCTTGCTGCTCCTGGGTTTGGGTGTTGTCTGCGCTGCCCTTGATGGGAAATGAGAGTGTAGCTCTCTGGCACCTCTGCCTCCACTCCTGCCTGCCCCATCACCCGAGGTTTCCTCCACCAGTTCCCTGCACTGGGGGCCAGGTCTCCCGGACCCCACATCGTCCCCTCTCTGCTGGTCCTTCGGGCGTGAAGCACGGCGTTTTCATGGAGTCCTGAGAGCGCAGGAGAGGCGTCTGGAGACCCTGAAGGACTGGAGTGTCTGTTTCCTCCCCTCCTACCTAGTTGATGGTCCAGCTGGGTGTAGAGCCCTAGGCCATGTCAGTGTTTTGAAAGTGTCCTGGTTGCACGTGGCTTTCAGTGCTGCTGCTGTGAAGTGTGGTGCGGCTCTGATGCTGACTCTGCCTCTAGCATTTTCACTCGAGACAGTTCAAACGTATAGATGAGTTGAAAGAACGTGGCGGTGAACGCTCACACCAGGATTCCGCCATGAACATTCTCCTGCTCTGCCTCACGGCCCCCACGCCCCCACCCCTCATCCACATGCTCATCCGTCTTACTGATTTGCTGTGTGTCAGTCGGTAGCAGACACCACTCATTTTACCCTGAACGCTTCAGCAGACGTATCATGAACTGTTCCCACTTCCTCTCGCACAGGTAGGATTTACCTGTGGTGAGGGCACAGGGCCCTGAGTCTGGAGCGCTCCCCGGTCAGAAAGTGGAACATTCTGGTCGCTACACCAGGCGGCTGGGTTGCTTTCCGTCACAGATTATTTACACCTGTTGTAGGATTTTGGTCTAAATGGTGATTCCTGGTTCTGCATGGGCCGCCACTTCTCTCCTGCAGGCTTTCTCTGCCCTCCGTGTTCTCGCCTTCCTAAACTTTCCCTTCCTACCCTTTCTTTTCTGCTATTAGGAGTTTTGGTTTCCAAGAATTCCTTCTTGTTCTCTGAGTGTTCCTTTTGTAGTGTCTTATTCTTATTTGGTAGCTGCAATAGCTTCTCTTACTCCCCTGAGAATTTTAATGATGGCTTTTTGGCAGGTGGCGTGGTTCTCCCTGCAGGGTCTCCATTTCTTCCACAAAGGACTTCTGTTTTCTTTCACCTGCTTATATCGCCAGAGAGTTCACTGTCTTAGCGGGCAGGGGGTTAGGCACCTGTTGGGTGTCTCTAGGTGTAAGGCTTTGTGCTAAAATTCTGTCTTCATTAATCCGTTTAATCACTGCAACAACTCTTCGAGTGGAAATGATCATTCGCCCAGTTTGCAGAGTCAAACAGCACAGAGAGGGCAAGTAACTTGGCTGAGGCCACCCAGCCTGAAGGGTGACAGAGTCTAGTGGGAGGGCTGCCCTGGGGGAGGGGTGCTCATGGCCCAGTAGGGTGGGGGGCCCCTGCTCTCTGGCTGGGCTGCGCACTTGAGTTTTGGCTCAGTTCTTTCCTCCTCCGGTGACCTGGGGCAGTTCCTTGACCTGGGCCTCAGCCTTCTCCTCTGTAGAAGGTGCCCTGGAGGCCTTGACTCGTGGAGTTCCCCTTGGGACCTGATGGGTTAATCACAGCATCCCACAGGATTGCATTTGTATGGTGGGAATGGTCTGCGTCACAAGACAAAACGTCTTTGATGAAGGAAACAGATCACTTACATTTTAGACCTTAGACATGAATACAAGGCAATTTTTACTGTTCACACTCCTCTTGGTGCTGCACCTGGTGGGAGGGAGAGGGCGACAGAAAGTCCATGAAAAGTTCAAGACGTGATTTCAGTTTCCCTGACTTTGGTCACTGTCGGGCAGTCAGCCCCACCAGCTGCCATGCCTTCTGAGAAGTCGATTCCTCATGGCCCCGGCCCCAGGGAGGGCACTGGGGACCGCTCCTGAGGCCAAGGGGCACCTTGCTGCCCAGATGGTACCTCGGGGCCACGGGAGAGGTGTCATGGCTCAGGCCAGCAGGCAGGACGCTGCTCCCCTGGGAGGAGGTGGGCAGTGAGGCCGCTGGAGGGAGGGCAGCTTAACACGTGCACACACCCGCATGTGTGCACACATCCATGTGTACACGTGTGCACGCACTTGCTCACTGAGCCTCAGTTAAGGGCAAGATGGCCGAGGACAGACGTCTCTCCAGGCTTTGGGCTAGAGTTGAGTCTTGCAGGAGGTTTGGGGCTGAGGTGCCGTGGCGCTGCCCCGGCTCCGTGTACCTCAGGCCTGTGTGTTCGCTCTTGAGGTCCGCGGTGCTCCTCGGGGTTGCTCGCCTGGACGTGGACGTGGCCTCTTAGAGGGAAGCCCACCCGGGGCACTGGCCCTGGGGCCGCAGTGTCCGGCCGGGCCCTCTGGCGCTGTGCGTCTTTTTGGGACTTGCCGTGTTTTCACGCTGCCACTTCCGCGCTGGGCCTCGGTGCCGAGGAGGATCTTCCCCGCGTCTCTGAGGTCTGTGCTGGCCTGTGGCCTTGGGATCTGCTTACGGAGGGGAGGCTGTGTCCTGGAGGGCCCTCCACTTTCCTGGGGCCCTTGTGCTGCTCAGAGGTGCTGCCTTGGCCCTGCTCGCCTGTTCCCTGCTCCAGGAGGCTGCCCTGCAAGGGACTGGCTCCTGGGGCCCCAGTGGAGCTGAGTGTGAAGCTGGGCCCAGGAGGCCCAGTGGGGAGCGCGGGGCGCACGCCAGTCCACGTGGGAGCTGGAACTGGGGTGTCTCTCCCAGGTGAAGCACGTGGCTTCTCATTAAAAAACATGCTGAAGATGTCAGTGGAGTTTTGCTTCTGGGCAATAGAAATGAAAGTAGAGTTTCTGTGGCCGGCTTGCAAGGTAGGTCGAGTTGTGTGAGGTGTTCGGGGAGTTTAGTGTCGGCCACTTTACTTCCTCTGATGAGTGAGCGGAGGGCTTCATTGGTAACCGGAAGTCTGAGGTGTGTAATGCATTAATTTGCTTGTTACTCCAGTAATGCCACCATTTGAATGTGGAAGTGGAGCTGCTCTGTTTGGAGGGGGCGCACGGGCCCCTTCTTTGGCTGGGCTGTCCTGTGCCTGGGGCTCCGGAACGGTGGCTGTGCGGCTGCTGGTTTTGGTGTGTGGCCCGTGGGCAGCTTTTGTACCCATGGCTCCCGTGCTCCCCCCCACCAAGGAAGGTGGAACCTGGTGGAGCTGCGCTGGACCTGGCGGAGCTGCGCTGGACCTGGCGCTCCTAGCGCCTCGGGCGCCAGGGCGGAGGAAGGGCCGGGGAGGGATTCTGCGCCTCTGGGTTTAGAGGGGGCCACGAAGCCCAGCCCCGTGCAATGGGCCCTGCCTTCTGGTCTCAAGTGAAGCCTGAAACCGCGAGCTTCAGCTGGTTTTGTCTTTGACAGGGAACCTGATTCACGCTGTGAGTCTGGGCCAGGTTCTGAGGGTTCCCACAGCTTTCCTTGCCCCTCCCTCCCCTCCCCCTCCCCTTCCCCCTTCCCTCCTCTCCTCTTCCCCTCCCCGCAGCAGTGTGCCTGTGTTTTAGGATGCTCACTGATCCCTTCTCAGGCTGGTTATAATTTGTCTCCTTTTATTGAATTCGTCTTTAAAAGGTGCTTTGTATGTGTCATTTTGGTATGTTCACAGCCACATGCAGAAGTCACTTAGATTGAACAAGGACCAGGAAACAAAGTGGCGCACAAATTTCTTTTCCTTTTTTCCTCATGCTGCAGATGACACCAGTGAACGACAGTGAAGAGCCCCCGAGCCCCTCCCTCACTCTACTTGACTGCACGTCAGTGCCCCACGCTCCGGTCCCTCAGGGCCACCGTCCTGCTCCATCCACAGCGAGAATCCTTCTTCCCTTTACTTCCAGACATTTGTATCGGTTCTTTTCCAAATCTTCCCCGTTCCCTCGCCGTGGCTTCTGCTCTTCCGTTCACGTGTCTACTGTTGCGAGCCTGCTCTGCGGGTACTGTCCTTTTAGGTCTGTTGTCCCAGGTTCTTGAGCTTCTCATCCTTCAGTTACGTCTGAGACTCTCCCCCGTGTGCCTACTCTTCTTACGTGATTTGTTTTTATTTTCATTTTTTGGTGGGGGGAGGTTTTTAGGTTTACTCATTGATTTATTCTCAGAGCAGGTACTGGGGATTGAACCCAGGACCTCATGCATGCTAAGCATGCACTCTACCACCTGAGCTATACCCTCCCCCCTCTTCTGATGTAATTTAATGTGACCGAGTTTTTCTTCTCCAGACACCCGGGGGATGGCCTGGCGTAGGCTTCCGCCCCCGCAGGGAGATGTGTGTGGCCCAGGCTGGGGCTCTGACTTCTCGGGGAGTCCTCCCTCTCTTCCAGAGCCCCACTGGCAGCTGCACTGGCCCTTTCTTTCTCCAGGAGCCCCCGCCTGAGTTTCTGGGAGCTCGGCACGGTCTCAGTGGCCCAAGGCCATGTGTCCTGACTGTGGGTGTTAAACCAGACCCTCAGCCAGTAGGGTTGGCGCTGTTCCAGGCCTGCTGTTGGATGTACTTGCTGGAAATAATTGAAGTAACAGTTTGAGGGAGAATCCTCACCTGAGTGCTTGCTGGGTACTGGACATTGTGATGTGGATCATGCAGACGGGAGGGCAGGGCTCATCTGGAGCCTCGCGCACGACCGCCCTCTTCTCTCCGCGCTGTGGTGCTGATGGTCCTGCCCGCAGCCACCACTACGCTGCTGCCCTGGCCTCACATGGTGCCTGCTGGGGTGAGCGGGGCCCTCTGCCAGCGGCCTGGTCCCCGCTGGCTCTGCAGGCAGGTGGGCGACTAGGACGGCGCGTGGCCTCTGGTCTGCTGGCCGCCTGTGGTGCAGGGTCTCCCCCCTCCCCCCCGCAGGTCCCCGCCCCAGCCCCA